CTACTGTTAAACTGTAAGCAGCTTTTTGCGGTTGATACTTCTTGATATTCTACCCCTGTCTCCTCCCAGTCTGGAAATCTCCTCACCGAAGTAGTCATCTCCGTTTTGTACTCTCCTCATAGATACTTACTCATCGTCGTAACGGACAATAATGATCTTCCTCACGATGGGTTTATGGTTTTGGGAGTATATAAATAGTTTGATTAACGGTATTCAAGTTGATTCAATAGTATCGGGTGGCTCGATCCCTAGGCCTGAGGGAGCCTTGACATTTGGAACAGGCTAAAGTGTGGTGGTCGGTGTTCGACAGTGAACGGTATCTCCGTGGGGTGCTACACCGCTGTTGCCCTAACCTTAGACGGACCACAACGCCTCCTGGTGTATTCAGGGCAGACTATGCTGCGCCTACTCGTCGATTAACGTTCACTGATTGCTAATGGAACTCACTGGTCCTGCTCTGCCTTGAGGCTCATTCTCAAGACCCGCCAGCAGCCTCACAGTGGATAGTAGTCTAGATCGATAGCACTGCCGACAAAGACAAGGGAGGCTGAGATGGCTGAGACTGGTCTATTAGTCGACATCAGCCAGTCATACCAACCCAAAGTGGTGCAACACCCGAGGCTCGAACGAGTGACTTCCGTCAGCGCCCGGTGAACGCTCGTCAAAGAATTTCAATATCTACGGATCTAAACTAACAAGACAACGAGCTTGTGACCCAATGGTTAGAGCGTTAAACTTTTGATCAAATGGTCGCGGGCTTGAGCCTTGGCTGGTACACCACTTGGGGTTGGTATGATTGGCTGAGAACGGCCAGAAATGGTCATTCCACTCCCCCTTCTCTTTGCCGACGATTCTACATGCTGAGCCCATTTGAGTCCTTAGCTATTGTAGGACACGCTTACTCCTGCAGCGGGCTTCGTTAGAGATGTGTTGGACCAAGCCGGGTGTCAAATGGGAACATCAGACGCGCTAATCAGACTGCGCATATTCTACACGGCTAGGCGCAGCTTTCACGCTAGCTGGAAAGTGGACAACGATACACATAGGAGAGGGAAGCAGGACCGAGACTGACTCTGGGTAACACACCCCCAGGGCACTTCAGCTTATTCCTCAGATGCTTTAAAAGTCATGGTTTGGAAGACTACAAAATGTTTGGGTAACTCGGCTCTCTCTCAGGATGGAGGGTTAAGGAGTGGCTGCTTCGAAATCAGACTTATATGACACTAACTGAGATGGGATCCGAACCGCCCTACTACCCTGTGCGCAAATCAGATCGTGACACGACTTGGGCGGAATTTGTAGTTTTTCTAGTTACTAAATGCGAGTCGGCTTCTAGTCGTTTTCACTGTCTTGAGGGAGGCGAGAGTGCGGTAGACGCTACGCGAGTCTACTATCACTATAAATTGATTCTCGCGCGATT